TTTTACGATTTTTATTTTCAGTACCTCAACACTTAAAGACAATTCTCGCGATCAAGTGATCCGCGAAATGCCTCCGTGCATTTGGCATCGTTGTCCGCATTCGCAGAGAATATACCACTTTCGTCACTCGAAACGGCGAGATAAAGAAGCTAGAGACGCGTGATTATTGCAACCATTGCAACCACGATTACTTTCACTCTGCAAGACAACGGCTTACAAGCGGAATTGCGTGTGTACATAGCGTTGCCTGGAGCGTCGTAGGTGATTTCCTGTGCTCTCGCCTGAAGTTGGTCGCACGTAGAATCCTGCAGTTTGGGCTTGCCAACCTTCGGACAAACTCGTCCAAGACTCCCCCGCTAACGGGGTCTTTGTTCAGCGTGTTCCAATGGTTTCTTTCTCTACTGGGAAGTTACTTACGGGCTACTGGTTCGTGATTGGGCACCTACCACCCGTACCACTTGATCGAATTGTCTTCAACAGACATTGGTGAATATAAATCTGAGCATCACTTGTGAAAAGCATGGAATTCGCTACCAAATAGTATAGAACAATTTGAGGAAACAATTTAAATTTTCACACAAGTATTCCTTCAGGAAAAAAGCCACTCATGGGTCAGTTTCGTCGGCAGCGATCATAAGTAGTGAATTATCACTTCTGGAAGTACAAGTGAGCTATCCACTCATTTGTACTTCCAGAACTTCAGGACGATCTGATGTTTTTCAATCGCATCAATATTGCTCCACTTGCTCTCCATTTGCCTTCATAAACTGATCGAACTTCAACAAAATTTCGAACATTTTATAAATCAATGGAATCACTCCAAAAAGGTCACATTCACACCATGCATATGCCCGTATATCATCGCACACAGCGACCACCCACAACGGAAAACCCTGGACAGCAAGCGTTCTCACACGGCTCCATTACTGTTCGTTCTCTGAAACGCGTCCATAAATATCATAGTGAATGTCGATGTCTGTAAAATATACATACATAATATACAGTACACAGCTTTTCTCGTACAGAAGGATGTTGTACTCCCAGTGTGAAATAATGCCTCATAACTTCACGAATCACCTTCAGAATAAAAATCTGAGAGCTTCCCAACTGGCTAAATTGTTGAACTATATACATTGGTCCCGGCGGCTGGAGAAGTGGCGAATGGATGGGCTTTGAAAAAACGCGTGAACTCGGGCACGTGAAAATAGGAAGTTGAGCATAATTATCTAATGCCTTACTCTCAAAAGTCAGAAGATTTCAATCAGGTTCCTGCCCCAGAGGTAGATTGACTCCTTAAACACCTATGTGACATCCGTTTGGCGAAGAAACATCTAGCGCTCGCATCACAAGTGCAGCTGTCGAATAATTTAGATCGCTGGGTTCGCTTATTTTTCCGAGTTGACATCAGGCGTTTGCAAAAAATTCGCAGTGTAAAATTTTTGATGAGGAGATCAAACTGTCTCTGCGGAACAAGTTCATGGCTCAAAGTTCCGACTTTAACCACGAAAAAGATGGGCAGTAGACTGATTCTGTTAAAAATTGTCAAAAAGGGTACTTATTCGCTATTTTTCACTTCTTTTACTGCTCCCTTGCTAAGCACATCGTAAAACCAATCCGCCACCTCACTGCAGCGTGAAGTATGTATGTAGGCGAATGACTTCGTCAGCCACGCTGCCGCTGCTACGACGGACCGACGAAAGCACTACGGCCGTATACAGGGGGGGGGGGCAAAAAAAGTCATTTCGAGTCACATATCAGCAAAGTTTTCGCAGCCCAGACAGAGGACGTGGATACGAGTACCAGGGCGGAAGATACCCAAGATGTTCCTCTAGCAGGAGCTGCTCGCCCATCACCTTCATGTACACCAAAATATGAAGTCATCTCCAGTCGCAGCCTGACTGGAGAAGACCTTTGGAATTCATGTCACCTCCAAACAGCTGCGAAACTTCTAGTATGGAGTCACCCATGGATAGCTACCTGGAGACCAGTACTCTTGATCTGGAAGACCTCCAACATCGAGCAGCTCCGACAACGTCGCTACGGTCTAGGACATCATCTTCACCGCAGTCGCCAAGGCGCGGGTTGATGGTATGGACCGGACGTACCTGGAATGGAAAGACCTCTTCGTGGACCCCGGACTGAAGGTGAGCGCTGGCGGTTACATTGGGCAACTCGTGAAGAATATCCTCCTCACATGTCGTCGCCCGTACCTTCTTGGAAACTTTGTACTGCTACAGCATTGGGTGCCACCACATGAAATCGAAGGGGGAAACTCTCGCCTACTTGGAATGGAAGGGGGCTGAGTACCTAAAGAAGATGGAATATCCAAGTAGGTCACCTGACCTGAATCCCCTCAATTACCCGGTTCGGGCGGAGTTCAATAGGGTGGTCTACGGTGGCGGAGAAATCGACTATCTCGCTGATCTCAGGCACCACATCGCGGTCGCGTGCCAGAATCTCTCGATGGCGCTCGTCCAGAAGGCTGTGGCGGAGTGTCATGATAGTATTTGATATGCTCTTTAATATGGTGGTAAAAATGTCCGATCAGAATTCATAAAGTGTAACTTATAGCGCCTCGAAAGTCAAGGAAGAAAAATGTCTTTTTTTTATTGGCCCCCTGTACAAAATATGGGTGGTCTTGGACCCCGAGCCAAAACTCACAATCGTCAATTTTGTATGAATGCAGATGAGAAGCCGCCCGAGTTCTACCATGAAGAGTTACGTGGGCGCAAGTGGATGATCATAGGAAGGATTCCCACACTGTGGCTTTCAGGCGGCTCTATACAGAGAACAAAATCGTCGCTCTCGGTGTATATTGCCTGTTCCTCAGATTGACAATCGATGGTACCACACAACTACAAGAAGGCCACCGTTGCTTGTCATAGTGCCAGTGCACTGTATTATATGTAGTGCACAATATTGAGACCTGGGTTCAATCGCCCCATTCGCCCAACATAAATGTGCTCTGGTCAGTGCGATTTCAACTGCTCTGGTCAGTCGTGGGTACTCTTCGACGGCAGACGCCACGACGTTTTGCCATTTTACAAAGGTTTCATGAAGAGCAGTTTACTCGCACTTGTTGAAAAGACGACGCTGGCAGAGGTTCAAAGGCTCCCGAGGCACTGGAGAGCGGGTCATTGGTGAAGGAGAGATCTACTCTACTCAAAGCCGAATATTACTTTGCATCTATTTTCTCTTCGTTTTATATGAATAAGATCTGCGGCACTTTTGAATGGGATGACCTAATACATGATTGCAACTTCTCTAAAATGACAATATCTCACGAATACCGCCGCCATTTTAAAATCAATTACGCAGACAAGCCTACCCGATCTCAGGGATTTCGTGTATACCATAGTGCCAAGTGCACGATTAGTCCAAGTTTTTTTTCCTTCCTCGTATAATTTTCGTTGATTCTCTTCTTGTTTGCGCTGTAGGACCCAATAAACAACTCCCCCCCCCCCGTTCGACGTGTAGTGAATAAGTTCACTGTACTTTAGCCTAAAATACGTTAAATCAAGAAGTACAGTGGTAAAGAAATTAGGTGAAGATAAGCTCTTAGCCTCTTATTTATTGATCAATATAAAATGATATAAACCCTTGCCACCCGTCTCCATTACCACAAAACCTTTATGATTTGGTAGTGTGAAAGGGGCAACGCCTCTTATCTGCCCCTATCAGTTGTTATCCCTCTCTGTGACCCATCAGTAATAACCCCGTCACATCCCTATATCACTTTTTGAAATCATCTTCCTACCAATACTATGACGGAGATACTTGAGTTTCAAATCCCCAGATCATAATACTTCTTAACGCGTCCTGCCACCCATAACTGATATTCATCACCCATACATTACATCATATCTTAGAACTAACGTACCACCGAAACTAAAACCCACGTTATGACTGGTGACCCTTACCTAACGCCCCTTAACATCTTTTGTCAGCTAGTGTCTCTTCCCGTCACGTTCATGTCCACCCCCCCCCTATATAATTTCTAGGAATCAACGCTCCACCGCTGCAAGTTATGAACTTGGTGACCCTCCGTTTTTTAAGACCCCATGTCAGCTGTTATCACTTCCTGCCACCCATCATCCATGTTCCTCGTCTCATCCCCACCCTCCATAACACTTACCAATTCGAACTCGCTAGGGCTGAATCAAAGAAATTCATGAATTTCCAGTAAAATGCACACATCACACACATCAACAAACAAACTTAGTGCATTATATATGGTAGGATACTTACCCGTTAACAACAATTTTATTCTATACATCTCTTCACGTATATCTATCTATTCACTTAACTCAGTAACTTGATGAGAGGTCATCAGTCAGCGTAATTAACCGAGCGGGGCTATCCCACTGGCAAGTATGCGGAGGTGCGAAAAAGTAATTATAAGGTCATCTCAAACAAAGCTCTCAAAGCACCACTCCCCAGGAGAATGTGTTGAGATCTCAGGATGACGGGAAGTTGCCTACAATCGAGTAATCGATCGCGTGGCACCAGCCATTGCTGCCACAGTGCGTGGCAGACTGGCACCAACCAGTCTTCGCACGCAGTAGAAGTTTATGCCATACCACAGTATTGTTTCGCAACGGAGCGTAGAGTTGCCTTTGCTTACAATCAAAGCGCTGAAACAGCCCGATCGTGTACTGCTTGAACGAATTTGAGATTCTCTCTCTCTAAGTTAATCTCACTGAACTTACGATAAGATGGCAAAAGCCTGTGAGCAATACCCGTGATTCAAATTTTCTTACCGTAAGAGCAGTTGAGAGACAAAAGCTAAGTAATGTAATCGATAAAAAATATGGAGCTGAACAACATTATTTGTGCCGAAATTATCACTTGGAACGGAAGAAGAGCTGGATTTTTTGAGAAATCTTAGCTTAGCACTTGAAAAGATATGCAACTACCGGAGAAGCGTCATTAAAGTCGAACTCTAAGGTTTTCAATGAGAATGGTGATGAAAACAGACATGGAAGAAAACTCGATTGGACTTACTGTTTGCACCGTACTCCTCGGAGTAACGCCAAGAATCCACCGCATTCACCGTCTTCCGTCTTCTTATGTGCACAGAGTCCGTTGCACGGATGGGTGTTGCAGACTTGATTCTCCACTGGCTCTCCACTGCAATTCACTGGGATAGAGGTAAAATTTCAGTAGATTTTCATAGCGCTCTACGACTGTTAGTGGTTGTTTAGACACAACACAACGAACTGTGCGAGGGATATTTCAACAGTTCTCTAGCGCTGTTCGCATCACACCATAGCAAAGGTTTATTCTCACTTTGCTTTCTAGACATTATGCTCAAAGCTGAGCCCACCTAGTCAAGACCCGCCGGTTTTCCTCACAATAGTGACTGAAGAACGAGAAACTTTTTCCCTCGTAAAGCTGAGCGAGGAAGTCAATATGGAACATGCTCATTCACAGAAAGACATGACCCCTCACTCCGGAGGTTCAGTTTCTATTTCCTAAGGTATTCAGCCAAGGCGGAGGTGGTGTAGTGACAAGTGGCGCGCTTACCACTCGCGCGGCGCCGGGTTCAAATCCCGGGTCGACTCCCGCCCAGGCCAACCAAGCCTTCTATCCTCGGTAAATTGGTACCAGATTCGTCTGGGAGGATAAAACACTGACTTGTACACTCCTCATCATTACGGACTGTCGGGGCGTATCAGCCAGTAGGAGTGCGCACACTGTTTGAAGCCGTTCTCAGCCTTTTCGTTGAAACGCGTATGCGACAAAAAGTGGTAGAAAACGAGTAATACGAAGGATATAATGCTGTTATGTCATTTGATCGCTTCAAACAACTGGTGCAGAAAGACTTTGGAACCGCGGAAAACGCAGCCGCACTGACCCGCCCCGACAGTCCGTAATGATGAGGAGTACATCGGCTGGCCACCGCAAGTCATTGTATAGGCCACATCGCATTCAATAAGCCACTACGATTCTGAATGGAAGTAGAATGCGTGCCGCATCCCACAAAGGGATTGATCAACGGCGAAGACTTTATCCTTATCCTTCAAGGTATTCTGTCATTTTAGCTGTTGAAGTTAGAAACCTTTCATGTGTCCTATTTTAATTCTACGTCTTGGGACTATAAGTGAAGGGGTTTTCCATGCGACTGCACGAGCAAGGAGTCACAGAAAGGATGAAACTTAGACATGCATCGTAGAAAAGAAGGTGAAGAGGACGTACGCGCATGCTCCATGCAAGCAGACACGCGTTCGCATGCGTGAACCGCATGCTCCACAGCTGGCCGTGCAGGGTGTCCACGGCGTCCACGGTGCCCACTGACCACTTGCGGGCAGAGCTCGAGCTCGAGCCTCAAATCCACGACCGCCTCGGTAAAAACTGCGGAACAACACCACCAGGTCCGTGGTTGCTGATCGAATACTCGTACTCGGCGTACCATAACAGCAATACCTGCAAAATCTCTGTGCGGTATAGAATTTTTCAGCACTTCAGCACTAATGGTAATAAAGCGTTGGCTTTCTTAGAAGAGAGTAGGTATGTGACAATTCAACTTCAAATAACGCCGGGGACGATGCCAGACATACCTCATTCCAGTGTTAGCGAAATCTGTTGAGTTCCGTACTTCAACATAGTCCATACATAGGGAATGTCTGACCTAAACTGAACCGTTTTTCTGATATATAATTTCGAACCAGGCACATATTATGTGCATGCTACTCTACATCAAAGGCAAATAGAATGAACTAATGTCCATCAGAATATCAACGTTGATCAGAAGGGTTTCTCGATTTCTTCAAATTCGCTTGATGGAAAAATAAAAAGTAAACTTGGTATGTTATATTATGGCTGCATTGAAAACCAACTGCTTCAAGTCGAATATACGTCTAAGGGCAAGCTCTCGGAAAAAGAGATATTATCACCTTACAATACATCTCGAATTCTCCAATGAACTGCATTTCAACCACTTGTCCCGGCGGAGCCACGAGAAGCCACGAACACTCTTGGCCTAAACAATGTCACGACTAACTAGGTACCAATCATCCCTAAGGAATGAACACTGAACATGAGCGTGCATTGATCTTCACAGCATTCTTTGCATTCAAAGGCACAGTCCTTGGTAAGCTGAGTGGAATCCCCCTCTGATCAAAGTAACTTGTCCGCAAGAGTAATGGTAATACCGTCAGCTTCGCCGATTTACCGTACACGCCATTGGCTCCCGTAGTGCTTAGAACCAACAGCAAGAACGGTGGCCTCGTTTAGGGTTACTTGACTTACTTCACTTTTTCTTCATTTCAGTCACCTACAGTTTCGTCTTTGAACCCTACTTTTCTGACCAATTCTCTCTATATATCGTGGAAAGTGCCTTCGATGAAGTTGAACTTTGCAATTCCCTAGCGCCAATCCTTACTCCTTTTTTCACCGTCCATAATAAAAAATGCGAAAACGATAGGTCGAAAAAATCCGAACTCGACAAAAAGAAAAGCATTTAGTATTTACACTTCACTTGAAACCATTTTAGGTGACAGCTCCACAGAGTATAAAAGTGAAGAAATAGAAACACCGCACCTTCCTTGAATTCACGAGGATATCCTGGACTGCTGAATCTCGTCCATCCACTGTTCACCTGGAACGGCCAGCAGTTGAGCAAATTCACGAAAGTGCAATCAAGATGAAAATAACTCCTTACGTGCATGTTCTAAATTGGCGCGGCTCAGCGGTAAAGTTCTTACCTTTTTATTACGCTGATTCATACTGGGATTTATTCCCGGACCGTAACCTTTGGTGGTGGTACTGACCCACGCAACCTCCACCTGGGATCTTCCATGAAGCCGGAATTGTAGGAAAGAAACGAATGAAAAATAAGCAGTTTGTTGCCGTGGGAAGCCGCTGTTATAGAATGGAAATCTTGGTGCTACGGATATCCTAACCTTACAGAGAAGGGGAGAAGACGTGTCAAAATATGGCTGCAACATGATATGGACCTCTCCGTTGGGAGATGAGAAAACGAAAAAGCGTCTGCTGACATTCTAAGTTACCTGAACTTTTCCTCCGCAAACTGCACCATACCCAGGCATAACTTGCTCACAAAATTGACCTGTGAACCCGTCAGGACATCGACATCGATCGCATCTGAACAATACGTTCACATACCATCTCTGTGGTAGTCTGACGCGAAAAGTACTACAGTAGAAGTTTGTGCCCTCTTCTCTACGAATACGAGAACATCATTCCCACTGATGATGTTCTGGAAGACTTCTCTGTTTCTTCCTTTATTATCGGGCACTCACCTTCTCGGATCCGTGTATCCACCTCGTTGACACGGTAGCTTCCGGGAGCACACGTTGCTGCAGTAAATCTTATTCATCAGCCGGATATCGTTGAATGACAATTGGTCGCGTTGCCCTGAAAGGGTTCAGTCCATACCTAGTCGCCAGCTTTTTCATTTTTGACCTCGAACATTTCTTGGTTCTGACGAGGAATCAATAGCGTGACTTCATGCAATTGCACCTTGAAATCTGGTTATTGTCCCGAAAGGCTATTAACTGCTACTAAGCGCATATAAAAGGGCGCACATCCTCGAATTCACTTTGAAAATCTGGCAAAACAAGGTTAAGGACGAGACTAATTAGAGGGTATCAGATAGGAATTCCGAGAGCGTGATATGAGGAGAAAGCAAGCAGCTAGGAGATGTCCCTACCAAAAGCAGATGGAAAGATATTGCTTACAACAAGCCACTGCATGACGGGGCATTTCCACACATCATAGGTACACTGCGAAGCATAATCATAGTTCCACCCATGAATCTCACAAAATCCCGTCTTACACGACGTTTTCAAAAATGCCCCCATACAAAAATGTGGTAATTACCAATACCAATTCGCATGCCAACACCAAACACTAACTTGAAAGAACAATTTTTTTTCGTCAATTTTTTGAAAAATGGTCGTTCTGACAATGCAGCAAAATGATAGTTCCACCGCATATTTTCCGGCTGCATCTCATTTTTGTTCGGTGAAACTTCTCATCATTATGACTTCTTGCCTCTTCTAGGCTATGGCAAGTGGAACTTCATTAATGGACCTCGAAAAAGGACAGATTATCGCAAAGAAGACTCAAAACTGTCGAACCGTCGAATCGCGCGGGATTCGGGCCGCACTCATCATGCTATCAACAATTTTGTCAAGGTAATCTGCAGAATCTGAATCTGAAGAACCCGCATCTTACCCTTTTTGGGCGAGTGCGCTATCCGCTACGCCACCAGGGCCGCCCTTATCTACGGCTTATGCCGTAACCTTACAGCACTCACACGTTTAACTTGGTGAGCCGGTCAGCCGTAATCGTTAGATATCGGCATGGAACCGCAAGGCCGAAGGCTTTACAAGTTTTTGAAGCTGTTTTGTTATGATAACTGCTGTTTAACGCCGCAGTACGCGTTCCAAATGTTCTTCTT